TATATATATACATTTAATAGAAAATATTTATATTATATAAAAAATATATATAATATATATATATATATATATATATATATATATATATATATAACATAAAAAATAGAAAATAATTAACTATTTATAAAAATGAATATTTTCAAGAAAATGTTTTTAAATATAAATAAATGAAATAAATGAAAATAAATATATATTTTGTATTATTTTTGAGTTTTGTTTTTAAAAAAAGAAAATAGTTTATATATATATATATATATATATATATATAATATATATATATATATATATATATATATATATATATATATATATATATTATATATATATATATATATATATATATATATATATATATATATATATATATATATATATATATATATATATAATATATATATATATATATATATATATATATATATACTTAATAAAATAAAATAAATATCAAATAAATATGAAAAATATAGAAAATTATTTTTTGGCATTTTTTATATTTCATACAAAAAAAAATAAAGTCAGAATAAAAATAAAAATGTCAAAAATGATAAATATCAAATAAATGGGCCAGGGGGTGTAAACTGAATATGGGGGGTGCCAGAAGTAAGCCTGTACAGGCCCAGCCCAAGACAGCTTCTTCTTCAACCTCTGAACATGTAAACGCGCACGCCTGGTTCAAAATACTACATCCTGGAAACGTGACTTTTTGCCAAAACTTACAACATCAAACTTGTAGAGAATTTAAGCACGAATCCAACCATATAAAGCATTAAATCTAAATCTCAAAGACCAGAGAGAATTTCTCTGGCCCTAAAATCTGACCTAGCTTTTTTCACATGTTCATGGATGAAATTCTCCTAGCACACTTAATATAAATGAAAGTTGAGCATATGTATGGCTTCATGGCATTGAATACTACATTTTTCATTCACAAACCTAAAGCTAAATGTTCCTAAATAGAGAGATAGAAAGTGATAAAAAAACTGTTTCAGTTGGAATCGAATAGGGCAATGCAGCAACCTTCAATGGTATTTGAGCTTTTGTTGAGCTTTCCTGAGGTCCAAGGAAGCTTCTCTAATACTTAGCTTGCTTTGAAACAACTTGAATCGTGTTGTAGAACTCAATCTGCAGAGCTTGGAAATGAAAATGGCAAAGGGTGTTAGAGGTGTTACAGCTTGCAATGGATGATCTGGATAGCTCACGTGGATTGATTGGAAGGTGTTTGAAGCTCTTTTGGACAAAACGCACGATAGAAATTGGTTATGGCTTGAAGTCTGCAGAACTTGCCCTATTTTGCAGCAAAACAGGGATTCTGAGTATTAGGTGGTATGAGGGATGGAAGGGTCGTGCTTTAGGTTTGTTTTGATGTCTGGAACTGGTTCATAAAGTTTGTTTTAGCTTGTGTCAACAGATATGTGAAGTTGGTTCTGTTTTGCAAGTTTTCTCCACTTGATGCTCTAATGTGAAAGTGAAGTTACAGGCCTCTATATGTTGTCAAACATGCTTGCATACATTGCTCTAGGCCCCTCTGATTTGTGGATTTGGTTGGCAGTTTTTGGATTTTGTCCAAGGCTCAATGCTTGGTGTTTTGACATAAAGTAGCTTTTGCAAAAATGGCAATATGCCTTTTACCATTTAGGGCTTAATTTTACATGTAATGTCCATATGAATAAGATAATACCTTAACACAATGGTTAGGCATTAAATTATGAAGTGTAAGTTGGTTTTGAGGCCTGCAAGCTAGCACCAAACATGCTAATTTGAAAATGCAAGTTTGTATGAACATGTATTGGTCATGGACAAAAGTGAGTTTTTGCCAACTTCTAACATTTGATTCTCTCTAACCACAAGGGTGTTTGAGGAGTTCTTGGACAATTTAGAAATCTTGGAACATGTAATACAATCCATATTTGTAATGCAACTTGAAACTCCAAGTGGAACTATGTGAAAAATGGCCAAGAAGATGGGTCAAAATCCTGCCTAGATTAGGGCAAATTTTCTCTAAGTTAAAAGTTTTACGTACCCTTGTTTCAAAAATCACAACTTAAGATACAAGCTTCCTTTGAGAAAACTTTGTGAATCAAAGTTGTATACTTTGTGATGGACTACAACTTTCATGTTTCAAGTTTTGTTTGAATCCACTTGCATCTTGGTGAAAAAATGGGACAAAGTTAGGAAAAAATAAGAAAATTTCATAACTTAGAAAATTTCTAAGTAATGAAATTTTTCCATTTCAAACCCTAATTTGTATTTTTGGGTTTCTTGATGAACAAGTTTCATAATTTGACATGTCTTGATAAAAAATAACTCTTGGCACTTGATTTTGACCAAAAAGTCAAAATTTGACTTTTCAGTATACAGTCAAATTTTGATCAGTTGACTGAAAAAATTCATCTGTCAATCCTATGATTTGAGATCTTTTGAACTTGTTGAATGGATCAAGACAAGGTCATTGAGTTCTTGAGTCCATATGTGAGCTTGGTTTGCCATTGGTTAGGTCAAACAGTCAAGAATTACCTTTGTGCAGTCAAAAACCCTAAAAATGACCATTTTGCCCTTTTGGTGATCTGATCAAATTTCTTGTGGAATTGTGATCCAAACTTGATCAAATGGTTCATATGAGTTCATAATGTTGATGTGGGTCAGATTTCATGAGGTTTGACTGTCAATTGGCCATAGTTGACTTTTTCCCCAATATAGTTGATTTCTAGGTCAACTATCCAATTGACTGGGCAAAGATCTGAATCAAGGCTTGAAACTTGATATGGGAAAACTTGTGAACCCAACATGAAGTATGAAAGTAAATTTGAGTATTGTAAGTCAAAATATCCCTGTGCAAACTCAAACCCTAATTTAGGTCAACAATGCAAGGAGGTGTCTTGAGCAGAGCAAACCCTAGCTTGATCTTGAGTTCCAAGAGTCTTGTGATGAGAAATGTTGATGAAATGAGAGGGCAAATTTTGGGGTACAACAACGAGCTTATGCAGAGATATATCTTTGAATTGTGTTCTTACTGATTTTCGGAGTTGCATATCCAAAAATGTATGAGATGCAAACTAATATCTTTTCCTCGTTTTTTAGGAAAATGGATGCAAATAATAATGATATAATGAGTCTCGACCGTGATACCCATCATGCATTTGTTTGACGTGAGAGAGCTAGACTTCAGAATGAGCAGGGTAAAGCTAGTCGTGGAACCGTCCCTAAGCCTCTTGACGGGGAAGCATTGACTTCTAAGAGCCGTCTGTCACAAGGGTCCTCATCCCAGTGACACGTCTCCCCTACTCACTTTGACCAAGAGGAAGCTCCTACTACATCCCTTCACTTGCAGACCCTTATTCAGGAGGATCCTCTAACACCTCCTTACTGATATACTATATAGATCATGTTGTTGGGCATGTCTAAGCTGGAGAGGTATATTTGTTAACTGTTGTTATTTATATGTTTTACACAAATTTCCTCTGACTGATATTGTCATTTTTTTTAAACAGGAGCACTATTGTATGAATTATGTTAACCACAACAGAAATATTTTGCAGCTTTATTGACTTAAGGATGATTGGTTCAAAAATGTCATTTGATACTCCAGTCTTGTCGGCCGGTGTTCTTCCAGATAGAAGACCATTAGCCATGTCATGCGGTGGACTTTTGCTGAGAGATGACGTAAAGAAATGTCATCGTTCCAATTCTCCATCGAATATGTGCAAATCATTCTGAGACCCTCATTCAAATCTGCACCTAACAATAATATAAAAATAATGGAAAAATATATTTTTAAAAGACACTTCGCTGACTATTCTGATATTTTGTTTGACTTTTTCGATATGTATCGTATGAGTGTCATACAAGTGGATATCGACGTGTAACACCACGACATGCTTACTCTTAGAAGTGTTTGTGTTTCATAACTTTCTACGACCGGTTCTCCCTTATCTACCATGTTCAGTTGTCATGTACTTTTTAAAAAGAAGTGTTTGTGTTTCATAACTTTCTACGACCCGTTCTCCCTTATCTATCAATGTTCAGTTGTCATATAAGGATCCTCTACTTTTTGGAAGGGAATGATAGAATGACTTTAGACTAAAAAATAAATAAGACAAAAGAGAAATAATGATTATTTTAAAAGGAAAAAGATATGAGAGAAAGTAAATCATGATCAGAGAGAAAGTAAATCATGAGAGAAAGTAAATCATGAGAGAGAGAAAAAAAAGTTATAGAAAAATAGAGAATTGAAAGTTATAAAATCCAAATTCTATAGTGTTTCCTTCAATTTTCATAACCATAACAAGTGATTGTATACAAATAACATGTAATCCTTCAAATTAGACATAATACACGAAATTTAAGTTGAAGTTCAAGTCAGGTAGTTGTTGATTCATTAAAAAGATGACACACATTGTTTCATTGGATGTTAAGACACAAAGAGAACTACAAATTAAAAAGGAAATCATTTTAAACAAGTACCAGCATTAATTGTAACAGATAACAAAGATATAAAAAAGACTAAAAATCTCAACAGGTTCTAGAATATCCCTGTTAGAAGATTTGCAGCAGTTGAAATTGCTGCACCAGTAATAGCACATTGCACAATCTGTTCATGAGATGAATCTTCTGATGTTAGTGCAAGTGTTGCACCAGTTATTGCTCCAGCAACTGCACTATTTTTCTGCACCAAACAAAATATCTTACCATAGACCACATATAATACAAGTATTAACTATCTATAAAATGTATCGTGATATTCTGTCATTTGGAACATTACCCAGTCATGTGCTCCGCGAGCTTCCTTCATCCCATATGTCAGTCCTGAGTATAGTCCTGCAGCCAATCCTGCATTTTAGAGAGAAAAAGATTGTAACCATCATTCAACATTCACATGCCTTCATCCCTTCAAAGATGATGCTTGTTCAAGAGAGAATGTATGGTTACCCCATTGGAAGGACTCTTTTCCTGTATTTTTTACCTGGTGAAGAAAAAACACAACAATTAGACCAAAAAGGACACAGAACATAACATTATAAAATGTACTAACATATTAGAGATGGACTCACCATTGCCTCAATAGATTTACTGCTGGTTTCTCCTAAAAAGAGAGAGAGCAAATGTTACCATGATAAGAGATTGCCAAATTGGTATAACAATGAAACATGAAACACAAATTGCATGGACCTACCTCTAAGACCATGTAAACGGTGTCTGTTGGTGGTAGAAATTTCTGCAGGCATACCAGCATTATTATCAATTCCAGCACCTTCAATAGCAGTGAAATAAGCTTCACGTGACACAGCTTGAACTGCACCGATCTGAATATGAAACCAATATGAGAGAGAGAGAGAGAGATAAATAAAATAGATAGATATAGGTAGACTTACACCAGCAGCTTTGACAAAACTCTCAGCAATGCGATTAACAAGAGGGTGTCCAAAGTCGAAGAGGCCTCCTTTGTTAAAGGTACTGAGTTCATCAAGAAGAGAACGAGTCTCCAAGTTGCTGCTCCCACTATTCATCTTGTTCTTCTTCTAGGGTGTAATGTAATGTAACTACACAAAACAGTTATTATCCTTTGTGAATGAAATGAAAGCGCCAAAATAGTATATAGTAATAAGAAAAGAAAAGGAGTTACATGAAGAAAATAACTGACATAAGGGGTAGTGCATGGGGATACACGTGTGAGAATGAGACATACGTGGATACGTGGGTGCTTAGTTTGTGGCAACCCGGTTTATTTGCAACATTCATGGATTTGTCTCCTATTCAAATGTGTTGCAACTTACGACCGATTCTTCTTTCATTGTTTGATTCATGAAAAATGTATTTCTTACTTTATTACTTTTTGTTTATTTTGTTCCATTGATCAAAAATATTTTTTTTAATTGAAGAAATTAATGGGGACAATTTAGTTTCTATTTTGTTTACATTTTAAATTAATTCATTTTTTAATTTAAAATATTATAAATATTAATTTATGTATACAAATTAATAAAAGATATATAACTTTTTCATATATTAAGACATTATGAATAAATTAATCGTTAAATAATAATCTTAACCATACCGGTATAAATGAAAAAGGTCTTGAAGGCAGAGCAGAAGGCATATGTTTAGCCCTTCATCCTTTTCAATGTACTCTTTTATTGGTTCGACGTTCTTTTCTCGAACGAGTGTTCCTTGTTCAAATACATTGATCTAATCATTAGCGTCTTCGTTCATATCGCGCGATTGTACATAGACCGTGTATTGGATCAACAAACGTTGCATAAGAAATTGTGAGACTTAACTGCAGTTTCTAGATTTCTGAAAATCAACCACTTATTCCTTGAGTAAATATTGCATTCTCAGAATACTCGATTTCAGACCCTACGACTAAAAATATATCTACATCGTGATACTTAAGTCCCGGCACATAATTAGACAAATACAATAGTTTCTCACCTCATGTGAGCAAGCTCTCAATACGATAACCACCATAAAGCCACTGACATTCCATATCCACTAGGGTTTGTTATAAATTTATACTTTTAGCGAGTACAATGAGCGTCCACCATATTGTCTGGAAAAACTGACCTGGACCACCATCACATCATTAAACCAAAGTATTGTCTTTGCGCTCGTCATTCAACATGGTGAACAAAAGAATAATGACTCTGACCAACGAAGAATCGAGCGATGAGGAAAGTGTCATAGGGGAGATGTGAGCTGCTTTGGACAACCTTCGTCACCAGAACCAAACCATGGAGGATAACCTTATTCATATTCAACAGCGCCAACAAGAAACTAATATGGTAGATGAGCTGGAAGTAGGGGATCCCTAACATCTATCAAACGATATATGGAAGGCGCATATCCTAGAGAACTTCAAGTCGCCATCGTTGACTAATTTCGATGGATGCATCAACCCATATGAGCATTTGTCCTCCATCAACATCCAAATGGCTATCATTGAGGCATCTGACTCCCTGAAGTACAAGCTCTTATCTGACACCATTAGGGACTCAGTCTTGATAAGGTATATGAACTTACTTAGGCTCTTTGTCACTAACTATCAAGATCTGGTGAAGAAGCTAATCCACCAATTTTCTGCAAACTGACACTTAAAGCTGGCTTCCACCACTCTTTTCAATATGAGTCAGAGCCTATCAGAGTCATTGAGGTAGTATCTTTCCCTCTTTAATGAAGTAACAATTAAGGTAGTCCATCTAAATCAGGAAACATTCGTAGAAGAATTTTAGAACGGGGTTTAGGACGGAACACTTCAACGAATCTCTCGCCAAAAGTCCATTGGTGTCCTTAGCTGAAGTAGTGACGTCAGTAAAATGTTATATCAAAGGAGAGGAAAGTAATGCTAAAAAGAAGGCTCGTAACACAAAAGAGCGCATTTCTGGGGTGGACAACTTCTGAAGGAACCAATACACCTTGCCCATGAGAAAGAGAACAACGTTCAAGCAAAGTGGAAAGCCTGTGGAGACTTTACGCTTTTAAACACTCGTCAAGCTATGTTGTTAACTTATGAAAGCAGCGCGGCATGGTGTACCACAAAATGTGAGCGGCGTTGATGCAGGGAGCGGTGTAGACGTTATTTTAGCGACACAAACACTAAAAAATAAGCACTTACATACTGAAAACATACTAACAAATACAAAAAAAAAACTCAAACTTCATAAGTCTTAAGCAAAACAATACTTCCAAATATATAATAGCATACTTCCAATTCCAAATACAATTAAAAGGCATATAAGTCTTAAGCAAAACATTATAATATTCTTTCAAATAGCAATAAAATTCAAGAAAACAAACACTTAAACATTTAAATCTTAAAACAACTAAACATGAAAACTCTAATAAAAGTTAAAGAATAAATAAAATCTAAATCTTCATCATCACCACCACATTAAAATAACAAAGATGATAATAATTAAATAAAAACTATTAATTTTATAAATGCCAACCCCATGATTCTAATAACTCCCATGTCTACAAGAAAAAAGGCAAGTGATTTTATTTTTATAAAATAATAAATAAATATGTATTAAATACAAACGATTAACTTTAAAAATATCTCAACTTCATAATTTTAATTACTTAATTAATTACATAAATAAAAAATAATGCCCACCACATATAACACCGTACCCCACATTTTTATATTTCTTAATTAAAATAATAACAAAAAAAAATATTCCACATTGAAGCACAAATGATGATGATGATGATATGCGATGGAGGAAACGCAAGAGGAAAGATGACGGTGATGAGCGATGGAGAGCAATAGCAGTTATGATGATGATGTGCAATTGAAGATGATGATGTGCGAAGGACAGAAGTGTCTACAAGAAAACAAAACCAAACCTCTACTGAAATTCTTTATAACAGTTAAAATTAGGGTTTTTTTTTACATTTTTAACTTTATTTTTTACCCGACTCGACCCGATTTGCAAAATCAAAAAAATCATCCGCTTCGGGCCGTATCCGAACGGCTCCAAGACTTGAGATCTCGGCTTCTCCAACTGTTTCACCATTTCAAATTATACTGGTACACCAGAAGCGGCCACGCCGAATTTTCCACTATCGTGGCCGCGCCAACTATTATTCATAACATAGTCGGCAAGAACAAATATGTTTGGAAGTTCTTCACATGCATAACATTCCTCAGCCACAAGACCCAAAAGGGGGTGTCATAGGACCAGAAGTTAATAGTTCATGAAATTTCCACAATATCAAGGGTCACCACATAGAAGACTTCCTACAACTAAAGAAAAGGATAGAACAATTGATCCAGGAGGGACACTTAAATAAGTATGTTAGGTGTAGCCTTAGTAGAGGATCAGGGGAATATAACCCCTAGGGGCGAGACGACCCAGACAGTCCTAAATCCAACCAAAGAGAAGATTCGACTAGGAAAGAAGGCGGCAGGACAATCCACCACATGCTTAACACCATAGTAGCAGGATTCATTTGAGGCGATGAAACCAGTTTTGAACAAAAAAGATACGTTTGCCAAATCCCATACATTAATGATCTTTCTGTTGACTTCAAAGCATGTGAATCAACAACTTTAGAGGCCAAGACTACCTTACTAGTGAAGGAAGAAACTTCCATTCACCTGCGCCATTAAAACACCATGGTGATATGTCTTCTATGTGAGGAATGAAAGATCAAGAGAGTCATGGATGATCAAGGGAGATTTGTACACATCCTCTATTGGGATGGATTTGAGAGGCTCCACTTATATCTGGATTAACTCAAACCCTTCCAAGGATCTTTGATAGGGTTCTCGAGCGAGCCGCTGTAGGTGAAGATTCACGTAACGCGGAAGATCGTCTTCGGGAATGAAGAAAGCGCCAAGTGGTCACATTTTTTCAGCATAACATCTTTCTCAAATCATATTATTGCATTCAAAATAAATCTCGTAACAATTTTAGTTGTCTCATAAATAAAATCAAATTCATTTTAAATCAAGAAATAAATAGTTCAATAAGTCGCAGAATACAAAAGAGAAAACTATTTTCCCATCCCATTGTTACACCATCAGAGCGACACACAGAAACTAAACAACCCAAAAACGATAAACAACGAAAAAGGTCAATTATGTCATCCTTCAACACAAGCAACAAATAAATCTCATCTACCTGAGTATCTGCATCATAAGGGTAAATAACAACACAAAAACAAATATGGGTGAGAATACATTCATATATGTTAACAGTGCATAAGCAACAAGGATAAATCATATATCATATTCAATTAAGCACACAATTCATTCACAACAACCATCAATTAAATATGCACTTATGTATGCAATGTATTTATCTTCTCTATTTTAATCCATGTGGTACCAATGTTTTGGATGTCAGATATATGTTACTGATTAATCCACTAGTCATTAGTTGCTCTCTGAACCTAAAATTCGTCATTGGTTCCTCTCTAAACTTGAAACTCATCATTGGACCAAAGTTCTACATATCTCTAATATACATGATGCATGAATGCGACAAATAAATACAATACTCATCTCAAACCTCCAACTGCAATACCCATAGAAATGAAAATTAACTCTAACAACTTTTATTCATAGATTAAGGGTTACAGACATATCCTTTAAGATCTCAAGAACAACCCTATATTCTCGGGACTCTTTACTAGGGAGTAGGCCACGTGCTGGACCCTATTACCCATGTAAACCCTGGTAGTCTTTATTATTGGTCCCAAATCACTTGGTCTACTACATGGATGTTGGCCCAAGGCTGGGGGTTATAAATACCCGCTCACATAAGAGGGTCAGGTATTCATTCATTCACTCATTCTACCTCACTTATGTTACTTGCACTCAGATCATCCTGACTCTTACTTTGGCCTCAGAGTATCTTGTAGGTACCTGTGACACGGTGGGAGAACTGACTTGAGGGTTTTGCGTTTGATCGCAAATGTTGTGGTTTAGCAAGAGTCGCCACCGACTTTTCTTTTATCCAAAAGGAAAGGTGAAAAAGTACAGGAAAGACCTTTGAGATTG